TGTACCCCCATAGTGACCCCCCCTGTGCCCCCCAGGCCCGCGGGGGGCTCCTGTGGCTGGTGCCCCCCGTGCTGGTGTCCTGGGGGGCGGGCGCTGCCCTGTACCTGCTGCCCGTGCGCGGCCAGGCCGTGGCCACCCAGCACTTCCCGGTGGGCGAGGCCGAGGCCGTGGTGCTGGCCCTGATCGGCATCTATGTGGCTGGCATGGCCCTGCCACACAGCACGCACAGGTGAGACACACGGGGACACACAGCACACACAGGTGAGACACACGACACCCAGCACACACAGGTGAGACACACGGTGAGCATGGCACTGCCACGCAGCACGCACAGGTGAGACACACGGGGACACCCAGCACACACAGGTGAGACACACGGGGACACCCAGCACACACAGGTGAGACACACGGGGACACCCAGCACACACAGGTGAGACACACGGGGACACCCAGCACACACAGGTGAGACACACGGGGACACCCAGCACACACAGGTGAGACACACGGGGACACCCAGCACACACAGGTGAGACACACGGGGACACCCAGCACACACAGGTGAGACACACGGGGACACCCAGCACACACAGGTGAGACACACGGGGACACCCAGCACACACAGGTGAGACACACGGGGACACCCAGCACACACAGGTGAGACACACGGGGACACCCAGCACACACAGGTGAGACACACGGGGACACCCAGCACACACAGGTGAGACACACGGGGACACCCAGCACACACAGGTGAGACACACGGGGACACCCAGCACACACAGGTGAGACACACGGGGACACCCAGCACACACAGGTGAGACACACGGGGACACCCAGCACACACAGGTGAGACACACGGGGACACCCAGCACACACAGGTGAGACACACGGGGACACCCAGCACACACAGGTGAGACACACGGGGACACCCAGCACACACAGGTGAGACACACGGGGACACCCAGCACACACAGGTGAGACACACGGGGACACCCAGCACACACAGGTGAGACACACGGGGACACCCAGCACACACAGGTGAGACACACGGGGACACCCAGCACACACAGGTGAGACACACGGGGACACCCAGCACACACAGGTGAGACACACGGGGACACCCAGCACACACAGGTGAGACACACGGGGACACCCAGCACACACAGGTGAGACACACGGGGACACCCAGCACACACAGGTGAGACACACGGGGACACCCAGCACACACAGGTGAGACACACGGGGACACCCAGCACACACAGGTGAGACACACGGGGACACCCAGCACACACAGGTGAGACACACGGGGACACCCAGCACACACAGGTGAGACACACGGGGACACCCAGCACACACAGGTGAGACACACGGGGACACCCAGCACACACAGGTGAGACACACGGGGACACCCAGCACACACAGGTGAGACACACGGGGACACCCAGCACACACAGGTGAGACACACGGGGACACCCAGCACACACAGGTGAGACACACGGGGACACCCAGCACACACAGGTGAGACACACGGGGACACCCAGCACACACAGGTGAGACACACGGGGACACCCAGCACACACAGGTGAGACACACGGGGACACCCAGCACACACAGGTGAGACACACGGGGACACCCAGCACACACAGGTGAGACACACGGGGACACCCAGCACACACAGGTGAGACACACGGGGACACCCAGCACACACAGGTGAGACACACGGGGACACCCAGCACACACAGGTGAGACACACGGGGACACCCAGCACACACAGGTGAGACACACGGGGACACCCAGCACACACAGGTGAGACACACGGGGACACCCAGCACACACAGGTGAGACACACGGGGACACCCAGCACACACAGGTGAGACACACGGGGACACCCAGCACACACAGGTGAGACACACGGGGACACCCAGCACACACAGGTGAGACACACGGGGACACCCAGCACACACAGGTGAGACACACGGGGACACCCAGCACACACAGGTGAGACACACGGGGACACCCAGCACACACAGGTGAGACACACGGGGACACCCAGCACACACAGGTGAGACACACGGGGACACCCAGCACACACAGGTGAGACACACGGGGACACCCAGCACACACAGGTGAGACACACGGGGACACACGGGGACACACAGCACACACAGGCACAGGTACAGGTACAGGCCGTGGTGCTGGCCCTGATCGGCATCTACGTGGCTGGCATGGCCCTGCCACACAGCACGCACAGGTCACACAGGTGAGCATGGCACTGCCAAACAGCACACACAGGTGAGACACACTGGGACACACAGGGACACACAGGTGAGACACACAGGGACACACAGCACACACAGGTGAGACACAGGGACACACAGGCATGGGATGGCCCTGCCCCACAGCACCCACAGGTGTGGGATGGGAGTTGGTGCCAATGTGTGACACTGTGTGACACCGTGTGACATCATGTGACACCGTGTGACCCCGTGTGTCACCGTGTGACCCTGTGTGACACCGTGTGACCCCGTGTGACACCGTGTGACCCCGTGTGACCCCGTGTGACACCGTGTGACACTGTGTGACCCCGTGTGACCCCGTGTGACCCCGTGTGACCCCGTGTGACCCCGTGTGACACCGTGTGACACCGTGTGACACCGTGTGACACCGTGTGACACCGTGTGACACCGTGTGACCCCGTGTGACACCGTGTGACCCCGTGTGACCCCGTGTGACCCCGTGTGACACCGTGTGACACTGTGTGACACCGTGTGACCCTGTGTGACCCCGTGTGACCCCGTGTGACCCCGTGTGACCCCGTGTGACCCCGTGTGACCCCGTGTGACACTGTGTGACACCGTGTGACCCCGTGTGACCCCGTGTGACACTGTGTGACACTGTGTGACCCCGTGTGACCCCGTGTGACACCGTGTGACCCCGTGTGACACCGTGTGTCCCCAGGGCGCTGTCGGGGGGTGGCCAGCGCGGCTGGATGTCCCTCAAGCTGCTGGCCCTGCTGGCCCTGGCGCTGCTCCTCTCCTGCCTGGCGCTGCTCAACTTCTCCCTGGGCTTCCTGCTGGGCGCCACCCTGGTGCCACCCGCCGCCGCCGTCAGGCCGGGGGGCAACAGGTGACACACCTGGGGCACGTGGGGGCAACTGGGGGCAACTGGGGACACCTGGGGGCACGTGGGGGCAATGGGGACACCTGAGGACAGCTGGGGGCAACAGGTGACACACCTGGGGCATCTGGGGGCAACTGGGGACAACCTGGGGGCAACTTGGGGACAGCCTGGGACACCTGGGGCACGTGGGGGCAACCTGGGGACACCTGGGACAGCTGGGGGCATCTGGGGCAACTTGGGGGCAACTGGAGACACCTGGGGACACCTGGGGGCACCTGGAGCACGTGCGGGCACCTGGGACACCTGGGGGCAACTGGGACACCTGGGACAGCCTGGGGGCAACAGGTGACACACCTGGGACACCTGGGGGCAACCTGGGACAGCTGGGGGCATCTGGGGCAACTTGGGGGCAACTGGGACACCTGGGGGCACCTGGGGACAGCCTGGGGGCAACCTGGGGGCAACTGGGGGCAACCTGGGACACCTGGGGGCAACCTGGGGGCAACTGGGGACAGCCTGGGACACCTGGGGCACGTGGGGGCAACCTGGGGGCAACTGGGGGCACGTGGGACACCTGGGGGCAACTGGGGCAACTGGGGGGAATCTGGGGACAGCCTGGGGGCAACCGGGTGGGGGCAACCTGGGGACACCTGGGGGCACCTGGGACATTTGGGGGCAACTGGGACACCTGAGGGCAATGGGGAGACCTGGGGGCAACCTGGGGACACCTGGGGGCACCTGGGACATTTGGGGGCAACTGGGACACCTGAGGGCAATGGGGAGACCTGGGGGCAACCTGGGGACACCTGGGGGCACCTGGGACATTTGGGGGCAACTGGGACACCTGAGGGCAATGGGGAGACCTGGGGGCAACCTGGGGACACCTGGGGGCAACTGGGGACACCTGGGGCACCTGGGGGCAACCTGGGACACCTGGGGACAGCTGGGGGCAATGCTGGGTGCAACCAGGGACACCTGGGGGCAACTGGGGGCAACAGGTGACACACCTGGGACACCTGGGGGCAACCTGGGGACAGCCTGGGGGCACCTGGGACAGCTGGGGGCATCCGGGGCAACTTGGGGGCAACTGGGGACACCTGGGGGCAACTGGGGACAGCCTGGGGGCAACAGGTGAGCCATGAGGACAGCCTGGGGACACCTTGGGTCCCGGGGGTCTCAGGGGGCTCAGGGTGATCCCAGGGGTCTGTGGGTGATCCCAGGGGTCTCAGGGGGCTCAGGGGGATCCCAGGGGTCTCAGGGTGGTCCCGGGGGTCTCAGGGTGGTCCCGGGGGTCTCTAAGCCCCGTGTCCCCCCCAGGCTGCCCCAGGCCGTGCTGCTGGTGCTGACCACGCCGGGGCTCTCGCTGTTCCTGGGGGGGGTCCCAGGGGTCTCAGGGTGATCCCAGGGGTCTCAGGGTGGTCCCGGGGGTCTCAGGGTGGTCCCGGGGGTCTCTAAGCCCCCTCCCCATTGCAGGCTGCCCCTGGCCGTGCTGCTGGTGCTGACCACGCCGGGGCTCTTGCTGTTCCTGGGTGGTCTCAGGGCGGTCTCAGGGTGATCCCAGGGGTCTCAGGGTGGTCCCGGGGGTCTCTAAGCCCCCTCCCCATTGCAGGCTGCCCCTGGCCGTGCTGCTGGTGCTGACCACGCCGGGGCTCTCGCTGTTCCTGGGGGTCTCTGGGTGGTCTCAGGGTGGTCCCAGGGGGTCTCAGGGTGGTCCCGGGGGTCTCAGGGTGGTCCCAGGGGTCTCAGGGTGGTCCCGGGGGTCTCTAAGCCCCCTCCCCATTGCAGGCTGCCCCAGGCCGTGCTGCTGGTGCTGACCACGCCGGGGCTCTCGCTGTTCCTGGGGGTCTCTGGGTGGTCTCAGGGTGGTCCCAGGGGGTCTCAGGGTGGTCCCGGGGGTCTCAGGGTGGTCCCAGGGGTCTCAGGGTGGTCCCGGGGGTCTCAGGGTGATCCCAGGGGTCTCAGGGTGGTCCCGGGGGTCTCAGGGTGATCCCGGGGGTCTCAGGGTGATCCCAGGGCTCTCAGGGTGATCCCAGGGGTCTCAGTGTGGTCTCAGGGTGGTCCCAGGGGTCTCAGGGTGATCCCAGGGGTCTCAGGGTGGTCCCGGGGGTCTC